TTCAAAGTCATGTTTTGGGTTTTGTTTTTACAGATAAATTTTCGAAGGTTGGCAGCACTAATGGGACTGTAAACTTCTGTGTCACTCTCAAGTACGTGAGCACCTCCTGTTGCGTTCAAGCACAGTTCTGGCAAGTCAGTAAGTTTAAATGCAGATGCAAGCTGCGAGATATTTCAGGAATGTTATTGTTCAGTGTGCGGGAACATCTAATAGCGCGTGCGCAAATGTGTATAGCTACACTTTTCACTTACTGGCACAGATGGGCTGCTGGGGCAAGGTAGGGTGTGGGGATCATGGTACACAAATTTTGGGAACCCCTGATATCTGTGTCACAGACATGTGACAATGAGGGAATATGGAGATACTGGAACCCAACACGGTCACTTGTTTATCACACAACTTTCTATACAACGTCACCATGCTTGTTAATTGCCGTCACAAACTGTTGAAACTTTTGCAAAGCGAGCGCAAGGCCAAATCTCGTTACATTCTCATGCCACGCCGCTGACGTCAAGCAGCGAGGCAGTAGCTGCAACTGCATTTTGAGCCGGTGGAACAGTGACGCTAAGGCTCCAGTTGGGCCATACCATAGCAGAAGCGGTTAATCGCCGCGGTGGCCCGGGTTCGATCCCAGGTAAGGTCATGTGGGATTCGTGGTGGACAAATTGGCGCCGGGAGCGGGTTTTCTCCGAGTAGGCGGCGCCATAGCTCAAGCGGTTAGTCGCTGGCTTCCCACCGAGGCGGCCCGGGTTCGATCTCGGATGTTGTCAAGTGGGATTTGTGGTGGACAAAGTGGCGCTGGGGCAGGTTTTCCCCGAGTACTTCGGTTTCCTCTGCCAATCTTCATTCCATCATCATAATCACCCGGGGTAGGTACAATAGGCCAATCAGTAGCCGACGTGCCGAGTGGACCTAGCTCGACTCCACCCCCCACTATGCGCATTTAATTAATTTTATTTTTTTCCTCCGAGTACTTCCGTTTCCCCTACCATTGCTCATTCCTTTAATTTCTCCACGCTATTTCTCTATCATCCAGGGTAGGGACAAAGGGCCCATGTACCATGTGGACTCACCCCCCACCCCAAAATTTAGAAGACTCAACTGACCCACACATCCTAAATTCTCATCTGGGCTAGTGGACACGACCAATCAAACAGGTCAAAAAAAATGTGGACAGTACACGGCAAGGAAAACAACAGAATGTAACTTAATGGTATTGTCCTAGGTTCGATTCCCGATCAGGTAATTTGATATTTCTAATTTACCTAATCCTTCCAGCCGCATTATGGCCCTGGGGTCGACTCAGCCTCTAACAGAAATGAGTACCAGAAATCTTCTCGGGGGGAAAAGGGCGGCCGGCGCGTAAAGCTGACGATCTCACCACCACCTGTGAGCCGAATGTCTAGAGAAAATGTGTGAGCCTCGACGTCTCACAAGCCTATGGGTCTTCATTGCCTGTTACAGGGACAGCTTTATATTTTTTAACTTTAATATTAATTTGAGAGGGAGGACTATTGACTCCGTCAGTAGCTAGGCTTCATGGCGTCTCATGGATGGATCACGGATGAACTGGAAAGGATTTGGAAGGAAACAGTCGTGGCTTCATCGAGGTATGTACCGGAATTTGCCTGGAGGGCTTGAGGACGCAATGAAAAAACTCTTGACAGAACAGTTGCTGTACCATCCGTGATTCGAACTGGAGACCTCCAAAATAAGAATCTAGAGCGCTGCCGCTACGATAGTCATGTCGGTAAATGTGTCGCAACATTCTGTATATAGCGAAGTGCTTGCCAATAGCCGCCGCAACGCGATAGAACTTGTCCAGTTGGTGAAGGTCAAGTGTGGCTGCAAGGCACAGAATGCGCAGTGGTGTATGGTCTCGTCCACTGAAATGTGTGCGTTGCAGTTAGTCAACTGCTCGTCTGCCCTGGCGACGGAGGAAACAGGCTCTTCCGAAACGACGATAACATTCTACAAAGTTACTCGAACGCAGCATCACGTCTTAAAAAAAAAAAACAGAAAATCTGAAAGCAGAATTTTCCTTCGAAATTATTTGGGCCAAACTACCAGACTGCATGGCGTAATAAAGCAGAAAACAGCATCATTTTTCATAACTTTAAATTTCTCCCATCTCACACCGAGAAATATACGTTTTGGACAGCCACAGAACTGAGTTGAACAGAATTTGTTATTACATAAATGTTACACTGCTTATTTTTGTTCACCGTTGATGTATCTTTCCACCATATGGCTATTAGCAATGTTCCGACGTTTCGAAGGTACATACTGCTTGTATCTTCAGGACCGGAGTAGACTGAGTTTTCGTTTATATAGGTTTGTCCAACAGAACCGTGGGGGGGGGGGTAACATACGAGGGCTGCACACTTGGCCCTGAAGACTGAGGCAACACGTACCTCCGAAACGTCACTAACACTTGCAGACGGCGGAAAGACAAAAGAGTACAATCGCCATGAAGAAATGCTTCAGACACAAGTCGAAGCACCAAGTGATGAGAAGAATATCTGATGTTGCCTGCATTTCAGCCACGCAAGGTGACCATTTAGAGCCGGGTTAGCTCAGTCGGTATAGCGACGAGCTACGGGCTTGATAGCCGGATAGCTTCCAGACCCGCTCTGGGGCCGAGTCCAGCCTCCTGTTCAATGGGTACCGGGAGCAGATACCCCCCGGGGTAAAGTGGCCGGTGCGTGAAGCTGTCCACTCACCTCCATCTACTGCCAAGGTCGAGTATAGTGGAGCTGTACCTCCACTCCCCCATGTCTTCATGGTGTGATGGGCAGTTTTACTGTAAGGTGTCCATTTGGAGGTGACAGATACCGAACAGAACTTCCTGCATATTACGCCGTGCTGCTGGTTAACTTGTTTGCCCACTGCCTCGTTTCGGCATGACAGCCCAAGCCCGCCAGAGCTACAGGAATGACGTATCAGTTTAACTGAACACACTGCGCATGCTCGAGTGAGTGGATCGTGAAGTACAGCTAAACGCAGTGACAAGTCCCATTTGCACCTTTAAGTGCTGGACTCGAGGTTCTCTCAGTGGTGGGCTATACAGATTTGTGAGACCCGACTCCGTGAAGTGTGGTAGGAATTCACTGATACTACATACTACTTGCTCGGGTTATTTTCCACCCTGAAGATGGAGGTCGTACCTTCATCCGAATCTACCCAGAATACAGCGTCACCTCACAGAAGGTAGTTCGATTATCGCAGCGGTAAAGCTCTAATCTCGTGTTTAGTATGTCTTCGGTTCGATTCCCTGAGGGTGCAGCGTCCATTCTGAGGTTTATTTTGTTTTTCTTCAGTCACTCCACGACGGCCTCCTTCCAGATCCACGCCCCATAATACCATTCGACACTATAGTCTAGCTGTTGGCAGAGTCGTAAAGTAACCCTCTCTTCCAAAAATCTAAATTACAGTTTAAAATTTCTGTGTTCCCTCCCGGTTACAGTTCGATCCAAAGCTGTAACCATTTAAGACCCCGGTAAAGATAAAATTAAAATTTGGAAGTAGTATTTAACGGGGAACCCCCTACTCTTATTATATATAATGGGAATACAAGAGATGCCACCGAAGGTTGCAATGGAGTGGCCAACTCTCCTGTTTCGTTACCGGACAGAGGCTACCCTGACACATTATGCGGGTTTCTTCAGTATCTCCCCCCCATGCAGAAACCTGCACAATACCTTAAAATAGCCCACGACCGCTTCCTCTCATTTTCTCAATGCGTCACCGTCGTGTTGTGTCCCATTCAACACTTACAGCGCGTAGTGTGGAAAAGTCAACATATCTCGCATATAGAAAACAGGTTACGGGCTGGACAACCGAGGGTTCGGGGTTCGATTCCTGATAGGGGTAATCGACTTTCAGTATTCAATAGCGTCCACGCCAGCTGTGGAGCCCACTCAGTTTCCTATCCTGTAGAAGTGGGCCTTTCGTCCCGGGTGTAAGGCGGCGGGAACGTCAAGCTGCCGAGTTCAGGGATGTGTGGAATTATACCTCCACTCCCCCGTACGTCTTCATGCTTAATTAAGCAGAGGGACAACTTTACGTCCCTGTCATGCGCAAACAAGTGTCTGGTGATTTGACCTTTGAATCACGGATCACCATGAACTGCTAGAATTTAAATTAGCTGCACTGAGCTGACCGGCGTTCTCAAACAAGAGAGGCGGGCCAAAGGGCAACGCTCTTGACTCCAGGCCCTGACTAACCTCACAGGTTCTTGTGGTTTCCTCAAGTCACTTCCGGCAAACGTCGGGATAGGGAACTTTTATGGATACTGGCTCAGCAGTTGCGTCTGCTGCTCATTCTGTGTCCTGTAGATAATACGCAAATTCTTGTGTTTTTTATTTATTTATTAAGATTGTGGTTCATATAGTTTTGTGTTTATGCAATAAATTGTAACTCCACAACAGAAAACTACTGAGTTAATGCCCATACAATTACTAGAAAGGATGTAAGTTCTATTTCCGCATAATTTTTTTGATTTCTTGAGGGTTTTTTATTTTGTTTCTGGCTTTTGTTTGTGGCGTACAATCATAAAAATCACAACATGGAACAAGAAACAAAGAAATAAACACAACAAAAGAAAAATTAATTTCACAATTCGTGTCCTACTACCAAAAAAAGAAGGCAACGCATCCCCGATAAGCATCAGCCAGTTAGTGACGTTTATAATCAGCGACTGTGTGAGAACCAATCACGCAATGGGAAAGATGATTACCTACAAGCTAAGTAGAACTTTCCCGCCCTTTACGGAACCCAGAGGTTCACTGTCATGATGACGACAGCCAGTTGAATCCATTTATGCCTAGGTCTGCCAAATGGTCTGTTCCCTCTCAGTTTCCTTTCCAGAAGTTTGTACGGATTTTTCGTCTTTCCCATGCGTGCTACATGCCCTGCGCGATACACAAAGTTACCACTGCACTGTAAGATTGAAATGTTTCATACCGTCCACTTGTTCGCGCGAGGAAGTGTGAGCTCACCTGTAAGATGATTCTGCGGAGTGGAGACTTGGAGTCATGCGCCTCCAACGACCGCTCTCTGCACCACGCGGCCCCCATGGATACTGCGGCTGGATCCCGCGAACTCACACGACAAGCTGGTCACGCCGCGCGCGGTACAGCTCCACAATGCAAACTGCAGCAACTTTCACATGCAACACGGAAGCTTCGGATGAAGGAAAGAAGAAAGAATGGATGAAATAAAGGGAACAAATAGGACAAAAATAAGGTAAAAAAGGTAAAGCTATCCCTGTAACAGTCCGTGGAGGCCCATAGGGTTGTGAGACGCCGAGGCTCCCACATTTTCTGTAGACAACCGGCTCACAGATGGCGGTGAGGTTGTCAGCCATGCGCACCGGCCGCCCTTTAACCCCAGGGATCTTCCTGGTACTCATTTCTGTCAGGGGCTGAGTCAACCCCAAGGCCGTAGTACGGTTGGGCAGGATAAATCAATTGAAAAATCCAATGACCTCATCAGGAATCGAACCCGCGACCTTCCGGCTTATAGCATAGTGCCTCAACCAACTACGCTACGGCGTGCATGGGACAAAAATAGGAGACAGGAGAAATAGAGAACGAACAAAAGAGAGGAGAGAAAGTAGGAACGAAAAAAAGGAAGAGGAAAAAGGGAAAGAGAGGTAAGGCAAGAGGGAAAGAAACAATATGAATGAAAGAGTAATGAATTAATTAATAAGATGAAACAAGGAAGAAAGGAGAGGAAAGTAAATAATGAATGGAAGGTGGGAAATAAGGGGAGAGGTTAGGGGTGGTAGAGGGAGAAAGAACGTGTCAGAAGGAAATAAAGAGGAAAGAGGTTTGAATGTTTTATTAACTGTAGTTGTTAACATTGACTGAAACAAAACTATGTAGAAAGTTTTGATTTGAAAACCTCATGATATGAGTCCTGTGCGTATTTGGGAAGATGATGTTAAAACGGATCACCTGGGAATATGTTACTGGGATGTGAAGTGGACTGGATAGAATTCTGTGGCAAAGAATCCTTCCCCATTATGAGACTGTTTGTACAAGGTAAACTCCTGATCTTCACTGGTCTTGCTGCCTCGCCTGGCGACTTTGTTTTGATCGTGACGCGAGGTTCGGCAAGTCATCCCAGCTCCAGAACCTTTACGTAACGCCTCGGTGTGTACGGCTGCGCACTGAAGCAAATTCGCTCCGCATTAGGCGCACGGGATGAAGGCACCTAGTTCCAGTCATGTGCTGGGTTGCACAAAATAAATTGAATTGGATTCTAGTTCAGGCAAAATGAACTGACTTTGTGTCCATTCGAAGCAAAACGAACTGACTTGCGGTCCAGTCGAGGCAAAATGAACTGACTTACGGTCCAGTTGAGGCGAAACGAACTGACTTGTACTCCAATCGAGGCAAAACGAACTAATTTATGGTCCAGTTGAGACAAAAGGAAATGACTTGCGGTCCAATTGAGGCAAAACGAACTGACTTGTAGTCCAGTCGAGGCAAAACGAAACGACTTGCGGTCCAATTGAGGCAGAACGAACTGACTTGCGGTCCAAGTGAGACAAAACGAACTGACTTGTACTCCAATCGAGGCGAAATGAACTGACTTATGGTCCAGTCGAGGCAAAACGAACTGACTTATGGTCTTTCTGCCCTCTGTTCAGTCATTATTTACGTAATTCTCCTTTTTCTTTTTTCTTCTTCTTCTCTATTCCCCTCTTTCCTTCGTTTTCCCTTCATTCTCACTCCTTACATAGTCTTCATTTACTTTTTCCCACCTGCCATTCTTCCCTTCATACGCAGGCGCACACTAACGTTTTCCTCACAGCCCCCTGCCATGCTCCGCTCCCCCCCCCCTTTGGGTCAAGCTTCCCAGAGATGTGGCATGCACTAAGGTATATAGGAATGTAATGCATTTTTCTAAGATCGGTGATTCTTTTATTTAAAATAATCTCTGTATTTTGTTTAAGCTAATGTAACACCTTTATTTCTGCATTTATCAAGAGGTTCGAAATCCACCTTGAAGACGGAAGCCTCATATTCTTTCTAGACATCTGAAATCACATACCAGACTACACGGAGATACGACCCTGATTACCATAATCATAATCCTCACCTCGATGAAATCCTCAAACCCCCCATGTAACATGTACGTCCCCCCATACCGGTTTTCGTCGATGCTTAAAATTTGGTTTTTGGGCACGGGTTCTCGCCATATTCACGTAAGTTAATTTTATACGTTAGATGTTAACCGCCATAAGGTAGATTAAGTTTGTTAATCATCGCAACAGTGCAGCGCCCCCGCGTTAAGGGAGGACCGTGTTCTTGAGAGTGTTTCTGTAACTTGAAGAGTTGTAACACTAACACAGTCCCACCACTGCCTCCCAGGTTATAAGCGGAGATGCCTTCCTGCGGAGACTTTCTGGCCAAGACGAACATGCGTAATCGGTCTCAAGGTTTTTGACAGCCTTTCACGTTTTGAGCACCCCTGGACGCGAATAGAAAATTGTTCTAGAATTTTGGTATGTCTGTACTATGTGCGCCCCCCTGGCGTCTCAACTGTTTGACTGAGTTTATTCATGTTCGACATTTAATAGTTTATCCGGCGCAGAGCGATGTCCGGCGGATATGAAGTTTATAACTCCAAAAATATCGGCCATTCAAATGAACCCCGAAAAGAGAGCATTGCGGTTTTCTCGAAAACGTCATAAGGATTTTGTAGAATTTAAGGGTCTCTCATGGCAGTCCTTATGTAGAAATCTGTGTTCTAGGATATACCGGCGTGTAGTCCTTTAAAAGCCAACCGACATTTCGGAGGAAAATATCGCCTCTATCTTCATGGTCGAAGAAGAAGCCGAACAAGAGACTAGGAAGCAAAGCCCTGACTTTCAGCGGACTACACGGCGTTATGTCCCAGAAAAATACAAATAAAATTTTAGCAACGATTTAGACCAGATCGGCCCAAAGATTCGGAAAATAAGACTGCGCGCACTAGTGTGCCTTGATGTTTACGCAACGCTTATACGTATGTCGTAGCTTGTATAATCAACGACCTGCAATGGTCTATTGAGCAAAAGTCGATTTCGTTTCTAACGTAACGTAATGAGGGTCAGTCGTGTATGAGAAAGTACGTGAAATGTTTTGGACTGAATTTTTACTAAAATAAAGGGAATTACGTCGCACGATTTAAAACAAGATGGATATAACACTCGACATGCGAGTCGTATCCGTACGTCATTGACGCATGCGCGTAGAGTAGCCGATGGCCGATCACATATCGTGTTTGTTGTCCTACGCATGCGCATATGAGTTGTAAACTTAAGAAATAAAGCCATTTTGCTTGAGGTATAATGCCATGTAATCCGGACGAAGTAAACCGGCTTTCGGAAGTACGTATCGCGTCTGTTCTCAGGGTTCGAATGTAAGTCAAGCAAGAAACAAGCACGAAACAGGCAGGAAGGAGAGCTTGCTGTGCAGATTGTTCTACCCTGAAGATGGAGGTAATATGTTCCACCCAAATGTCAGTTGAATTTAAACAGACTGTACGCCGTTATATCTCAGAAATTAGAACTCTTCAAACAAGCATTTCTCTAAAGAAAAAAGTTCTGATGTTGTTCGGGTTTTAAAATGCTTAATATTTATCCAGAATTTCCTTAACCGTGAATTTATGCTTTTCCAGGAACGTTTGTTTTCCACTGCTTTTTTTTTTTTTGTGGTGTTTTAGTGAGGCATAGATTTAAATAGAGCTGTTTCCACAGAGCCAGAAGGTCACCGTGAATTTTTAGCCTACTTTTCTAAAGTCGGTTTAAGTGATCTCTGTGTGTCTGCGAATCCCCCCCACATAACCTTCTGAATGCCCGAACCAGTCTTTATGAAACTTGGTATGTACATCATGGCACTTGAGCCTATCTCAACTGCTTTTTTTTTTTTCCTGTGGCGCTACAGCCCCAATTTGCGCCTAGGCCTACCTCCATGAAACTCTCCGTTTCACTTCGGTTTACTAGATCTTACACATACGGTAGGACTCCTTGGGCGAGTGATCAGCTCGTCGCAAGGCCTCTACCTGTAGACAAACACAGAAAAACGCACACAAACATCCATGCCCTCAGTAGGATTCGAACCCACGATCCCGGTTTCCAAGCGAGCGAAGACAGTGCATGCCTTAGACCGCTCGGCTACCGTGACGGGCATCTCAACGGCTTACTTCATCGATATTTATTAGTATTATCGTTGCTAGGCAACGGCTCGTTAAAAACATTACCGCGGCAACGAATAATTACTGAAGGCGTCGTTTTATATGAGATCCTTGTCTTAAAAAGGTTAAAACTATCCCTGTAACAGTCCTTAGCGGCCCGTAAGGTTTTGAGACGTCAAGGCTCCCAGGTTTCCTCGACAGTCGACTCACAGATGGCGGTGAGGTTGTCACCCTTACACACCGGTCGCACTTTATAATATTTCTGATACTAATTTCTTTTAGACGCTGAATCGACCCCAGGGCCATAGAGCGATTGGAAGGATTAGGGCAATCGAGAAATCCAATGATCTAATCGGGAATCGAGCCCGCGACCTTCCGCTTTGTAGCATAGTGCCTAACCAACTACGCTGCAGTTGTATCAAAGGAAATCAGACGATCAGTTCATTTTCCATAAGGACGAAATTCCACAGCGCGCACATCTGTGACGAGTTCTGTGTATTCTGCGGGCCGATAGCTGTGAACAGATCTCCGCAACCCGACACATGTGTTGCAGTACTCCTGAAACAGCTGTACCGTGCTCAGCCTTGACGGCCCACGCGACGTGCGCTACCTACACCGCTCTGTACTCGCTCCAGTATCCAGACGCGTTTCACGGAGCCCAGGTAAGGCCCGCACGGTCAACTGCCTCGCGTTCTGCTGGCCGCGGGTTCAGCTCTCGCCTTGAATACAACCATCACTGAGGCTTCCCGTTGTCTTACGCAAGGGAAATGCCAGGAAGGAAGACTTTCCTCAGCTCAGGGTGTGACCGTTTCCTTTCATATCTCTTCTTGTTCATTATTCACTAACAGTGAATGATGAGTTCGATCTCTTGCCGAGTCAACCGACGTTTCGGATCAATCTCCAGGATCGAAGGATAAGCCAAGCAAGAAACTAGGGTGAAAAAAGGTGGAAGATGGAGGCTATGTGTTCCTCCGAAACGTCCGTTGACTTGCAACGGAGTGCACTGCTTTGTATCCCAGAAGATAGAATTCATCATAACCACCGGTGTGAGGACCTCAAATTCTATATGTGAATAAAGTGTGAAGAGTTCTCTAATCTGGAATGTGACACCGTGTAAGTTTACTTTTAGGTTCGTTATTTAACGAGGCTGTCAGTATCGAGACTGTATAATGATTATTGTATATGGAGCATTCGGTAGAATGATAATTGGCAGGGGAAGCAGAAGTACCCGGTGAAAATCTGCCACAATACCATTTTGTCCACCACAAATTCCACATTTTCTGATCTGGAATCGAATCCGGGCTGAAGCGGTGGAAAGCCAGCGAAAAGTGAGCTATGGCACAGCCTGTGACGCCGTGTAGTCCTGTAAAATTTTATCAGTATTTTTGATTAACTTATTATCTCCTTGTAAAGAATAACTCGCGAAGTGACATTCGGTACAGTTGCGTCCCAGAGATGGTACACGCAAGCCTGTCAGATCCTCAGATGAGCTGTCCGTCATTTTCTTCAGGACAGTCGGATTCAATATGGCGGGTTGCTTTTCTTAACCTGGCCCTGCGTCAATGATCTAGTGACATCTACAGACGCCTTACTGAAATCTCGACTCATGAAAGGGATTCCTGTGGCTTACTGTCTCCACGGACCACACGCCTTCTTCAGAAGCTGATAGTGGCTCCGCCGCTCAAGAAAGTCACCGTCTGTTATAGCACCTTAGAGTTTCATTACGCTATCCTAAAGATTTTACCAGAGGGCTTTATCCTGAGTCAAATTAATCCAGACCACACTCTCCCATCTATTCCCTTAAGATACATTTTAATACTATCCTCCCATCTACGTCTAGGTTTTGCAAGTGATGATTCAGGTTTCCCGATCAGTATATTATTTTTTGTGGCTCCCTTAGCCATTTGCTCTTGCTGTAATATCTGGGCGCCCATACGCTTAGTTAAGACGTACGGGAGAGTGGAGATGTAGCTCCATCATTCTTGACCCTCGGTACTAGATGGAGATCAGCGGTCAGCTTCACCCTTCGGCCGCCCTACTCCAGGGAAAGAGCAACAGGAGGCTGAGTGACCCCCGGAGCCGGTCTGGACCCTGTGGAGAGGAGAACAATCTTTTGCCCCTGTAAGTAATGGAACTCCGACCGTCCAGACGGTCCAGACCGTAGCCCGTCGCTATACCGGCGTCCCAACTACTTAGTAAATCATTACTCGGCGGTGATCCAACCATTCCAAAATAAGTAGGGGCACTATGCTCCAAGCAGGAATGTCGCGGGTTCGATTCCCAATGAGGTTGCTGGATTTTTCAATTGACCTAATCCTTCCAGTCGCTCTATGGCCCTGGGGGCGACTCAGCATCTAACAGAAATGAGTACCAGGAATCTTCCTGGGGGTAAAGGGCGGCCGGCGCGTAAGGCTGACAACCTCACCGCCATCTGTGAGGGAATTGTCTAGAGAAAATGTGGGAGCCTCGACGTCTCACAAACCTAAGGGCCTCCATGGCTGGTTACAGGGATAGCTTTGCTTTTTTAAGTAAACAGATAATTACAATAACTTCCACGTAACTTGAGCCGGGGTAGCACAGCCGGTTTAGCAACGGGTCGGAGTTCAAGTTCCGGTAATGTCATAATTCTCTTCCCTCCATATCGTCCACTTCGGCTCTACGGCTCACCCAGCCTCCTATCCAATGAGTACCGGGGACTCTTTCCCCGGGGGTAAAGCGGAAGGAGCGTGAAGCTGATCACTCACCTCCAGCTAGTGCCTAGGTCAAGAAAATGTGGATCTATACATCCACTCCGTCGGTCACGGTAGCCGAGCGGTCTAAGGCATGCACTGTCTTCGCTCGCTCGGAAGGCGGGATCGTGGGTTCGAATCCCACTCAGGGGATGGATGTTTGTGTGCGTTTTTCTATGTTTGTGTACAGGTAGAGGCCTTGCGACGAGCTGATCACTCGCCCAAGGAGTCCTACCGTATGTGTAAGATCTAGAAAAACCGAAGTGAACGGAGAAGTTCATGGAGGTAGGCCTAGGCCCACTGGGGCTGTAGTGCCAAGGAAAAAAAATACATCCACTCCCCCATACGCCTTCATGGCGTAGGGCTTAATTAGTTAAGCACAGGAACACCTTTATATTTACCTTTACCCACCGAACTAAACTGATACATTGAATTGCGTATGCGAACTGTGTCACTGAGGGGCTGGCTTACAGAGTATGTTCCCTGAACTGTCGTACATTCCGATGTTTCAGAGCTTCATGTTCGGTGTTTCCAGTCCAAGGCCAAAATTTTCGACCAGTGGCTTCTGTTTGTTTCCCGTTCGGTTCCGGCTTGACCTTTCTGAAGGTCACTGAGTGCCTTCAGCACGTGATCTTGCTCGCACTGGCTGTTATGAAGCGGTTATTTCCCCAAACAACATTAACCGGTTGGCCTTCGTAATGGAGACGCACAGTGTTTCCTTTGAGGTACGGACTGAATTTCTAAATACTGTCTGAATTAATGCGTGGAGGCGGGGTCGAATACCTCCACCGTGACCCTGCGAGTCGTAGGAGGCGACCAAAAGGGAAGTCTCAAATCTGAGACAGTAAAATATGGTCGCGAGTCCCAAGGGTCTCGGACCCGAGAAAGACTGCGCTGCCAAGGGCCAGCAGCATTTACAAAAGACAGAACCGTCCTATCACCAGAGAGAGCGCCCTACAGAAACAAGATCGTAACTGTCAAACAGTAATAAAAAATCTAGTAATGAGCCCCTATGAGGCTCGGAACCAAGACTTACTGACTGACTGACTGACTGACCGTCAGTCGCAATGTGACTTTGACTTTTGACTTCGGACTTCACTCAACATCAAAGTATCGCCCCAACATGGCCCTTCCAATATTAAATCAAAACTGAACTCGAATGCCCTTCCAACGTATATAAAAAATTCCTAACGCAAGCAGTAAAGCCCTTCCTCAACCTCTTCTCATAACAAAGTCCACTTCTTAAACCTTTACCTTCTTCATTTCCTTACGATTTCCCCTCTTTCAAATTCACCTCTAGAAGGACGAGCGGGCGCTGTCTGCGAACCTTCTTAGCGGGACGTTTCTCTGTCGTCTCCCCCCCCCCTTAAAATGTAGCGTCTCTCACTACCCCCCCCTCCAAATTTTCTCTTTATATCTTCAATTTTCAGATCTTTTCCCTGCTGACTTCACGAAAATGTTGAGAGAGCTTCCAAATTTTCGCGTTGCTCCTGCGCGTTTCTCACACAGCCCTCAAGACTTAAATTCACCCCGTACTACGGAAGCCCCCCAATTACAATTTACCCAGTAACCAGAA